GACAATACTTGAAGAGCACTCGCCCCCAGTCTCCAGACTGTAAACACAAACCAGCTGTCCCTGGAGTGTGATACTTATTCACTGACTGATCTAACCATAGGCCAACAGGGAGGGAATAAGGGAGCGGAACACAGGATCAGGAACGAGAGGATAGCACAGCTTCCACAGACTGTCACAGGCAATTAGAAATAAATACTGATATGTGGCTCTGTGGCTGTGAATTGAAGACCATTCGCAACGTGTCGGTGGTTGTCTATAAAACAACATCGCTTCCCGTCCATATGGAGCGAAAATGACAGCGTTCCTGTGATATACCACTCTACTGCCACTTAAAGTCTCTTACTCCATTTATCCAGAGTGACTGGAGACAGGATGTTGTCAGCGGCAGTGACAGCCATCTGAAGTAAAGAGACATCATTTAAGGGATAGGGGCAGTCAGAGGGGGACAAGCACTCTAAGAAGCCACCTCTCTGTCTTTGCTGCCTTGTGTATCTCCTGAACCTGCTCAGTTTTAGCACAAGATTTCAACCACAGAGAAAAGACATGGTCCCATCACAAGCTGCCAATCTGACAGGGTGACTGGGGTAAGCATATCTCATTGTCCATGTCAAAGAGAATAATACAGTGGACATGTCTATTAATGTAACGCATTTGTGTAATTAGTACTTCATATGGCTTCCACTGACTTCCCAGCTACAACTCTCTAGAGTGTGGCCACAAGCCAACAGTGGCTCAGAAATATTTTCTGTGGCCCAGCAACCCTCCAATTCATCAGCAATTTATGTGAAGGTGTACTTTATTGGTCCCCGTGGGGAAAATCGCTCTCTGCATTTAACCCATTCACTCAGTGAAGCAGTGGGCAGCCATTGGACGCCCACTATAATAATTATGACTGAGACCAAAAGGATATTCTACTCAGTTTCAGCTTCTTTGGTATAACTGTCACAGTAGACTACACCTAGCTAATACCACCATTTGGGTCCCATTTATATTGAGCATTAAAGCAGATTTTCACATCCAGTATTACATTATAATATTATATTAGTGATACTATGCATACTTATTACATATTTACTACAGTTTTCCATAGTGTGTCTTTCTAACAAAAATAGAGTACATTACAATATTGAGTGTGTCCTATCAGTAGGTGTTAATTAATATATTAATATAAAAAATAACAAGATAAAATATTAACAATAATAGATCAAAAATAGTTTCTTGAGTTACAGCATACTGAAAAAAGGGTTATGAAATGCTCCCTAATTTCAGCTCGTAAGCTTCCTGTAAACTGTCAAGTTATGACAAGTGGTATGCTTCAATATAGACTCATGACGTCAAAATAACAGGGTTGCAACATCTGCTGGTGAGCAGGGGACACATGGTTCTGTAGAGCACATCTGTTAATAGTATGAATAATGTATTAGTTCATATACCAATAAATTGTATATACAAACAGAGAAATCTTGTGGGACGCTCTAATTGCATGACGAGTCTCGGTTCTGTATGGATGTCTTTCCCTGTGGCTCATTACTTCATCACTGCAGTGTTGCTGCTTAACCTTCAGCCCTGCAATGAGCCTCACTTTCCTCTAGCAAATGACAATGTCCAATTTCATTAAGAATAACATTTATTTTTCTCTCTTACTGAACCTAAAACTGTTATACTACCCAATAACCTTTGGAGTACACAAGCTGTGACTTTGCCTTCACCTCAATAAAGCTCTCCATGATTGAATCAAGTGGCTGAGGTCAACAGGACATATGTTCATTTCCCAGGGTCCACTAGGGTCCCTGCGGGCACAAAAAAATATGCTGAGTGTCTTCAGTGACATTTATTGGATACGAACTAAGTTAGATTTTTTCCTCTTTTTTCTAATTTCATCTCTTTCACTTTTAGAGAGGATTCCTCTACACAGTGCGTGCACGAGAGTGTGTATGCCTGTGCTCATGCATGTGCGGATGTTGTGCATGCTTACAAAGTATTTCAACCCTGTGGTCATGCTTCAGGCACCAGCACATAGTACATCTGTCACTGTCTCTACAACTTCACCTCAATTTTCTGCAAACAAGTTCCACTTCTGTGCCTTGAAGGACAGATACTTCTTCCTCCGTGTCTTCTGTTCCAGTCTGTCTCTGTCACTCCTTTCCTGCTCCCATCACTTTACATCTGTCAGCCTCCAACAGCCTTTTGTCAGCCGTCTCAAAGCTTTTCATCATCTTCCCCCGATGTTAGTTAAATTGTAACAGCAGCAGAAATGGTTTTAATACAGTAAATTCACTTGGAATTGAGTTGAGGCTTTAGTAAGTTATTATTTCCCACTGTAGCGCTCACATTTTCTTTGTCGCTAAGAGATGAAAAAAGCTAAATCTCTCTGTGGGATTCTTGTCCGTGTACTCCAGCAATCTCCAATCACAGTACAAAAACATATTCAAAAAACAGATATTATATAAAGTGGCAGCATAACAATGACAGCCATCTTAATTGACTATGACGTCTTTAATGATTTTGGGGGACATTAGTAAAAAAGAATATTATATTATATGTTATAGCAAATAACTATTGTCATGTGTTCATAAAGAAAAACCTCATTTGACCTGAGTTAATTTTTGATGCAAAGTGCATGCCATCATGTGATTGCCATCAAGTCCTCCCAGGTGTGGGACATATATATGGCAACCTGTAAATGCTTAAATAAATATGCTGCAATCTCATTTATATATTGTGTTGTATGCATGAATCCATGCTGTACTGATGCCTTTCACCACCTGCTTCATTCTTCCAGCTAATGTGTTTATTCTCAATAGGTTTTCTTTTATTATATCATTTTTTTTCTTTTTAACCAGCACAGTTTGTGTCTCACTACACAGACTGCAGATAGCAAACACAATGCACAGTGGTGTGAACGTTTATTGTATCTAACTATAATTTTGTGTGTGCACTTGCTCTGTTAGCAGGGTAAGGACATTTCTGCACATGCTAGTGAATGAACCCCATTGTCTTTTTTTTTTTAATGAAAGACCTTGTTTATTTAAACTATACAATGTTAAACCACTTCCTGCACATATTACAGCATCCAGGCAGTAAAGGTGCCTGTCACCTGACCTACCACCCACAGAAAACATTTAGCCCCCTGATAAACAAAGAAAAATGATAAAGGATGCCCTCAGTGGCCGAGCAGATAAAAGCCTTTATCAAGCAAGACTGAGAAAACATTTTTCTTACAAACTACGACACGTGACCATCGTAGTTGCTGAGCAGTCACACGGTGTTGCGGGCTTCAAATTCAAACATTTGATGTTGAAACTGTGCATATAGTATTTTAATTAAATACAGCATTGAAAAAAATTCCCAATCACTGTATTTCATTTTTAACTGCATCTCGCAGAGTCCCGCAAATTTTTAGAAACAGCTGAATTTTAAAGAGAAACTGTAACACATCCACTGCCACCTTTTTGAAAGCATCTCCTTCAAACAAAGCAACCCTACACCATTACTATTACCCTAAAGAGGCTGAACAAATTACTTCACACACTTTTGACAGAGTAAGGTCAGTCCCCTTTTTAACACTCCCCAGCTCCTCACCTCTCTCTTCTAAACACCTTAACTCAGCAGCATTTGCCAGAGGGCATTTTGTTTTACCATGTAGCCCCAGGGTGACCCATGAATCCGTGTGACCTCTGAAGGATAAAGCCGGGAGACATAATTCATCCAGGCAGCTTCAACAAGTCCTCTCTGTGTTCCCCCTCGACCTTAAAACCTGGCAGTAAATTTAGTGAACTACAAGTAATAAACTCTATCCCTGGAGGGCTGAGCTTCTCAAGGTAGGAGCGCTGATCTAGCACTACCATGATAGCATTTGACCAACTCTTTCATTATAATTCAAAAGGTGAACCAGATACTGGAGGGGTATTATTATTCGAAAACCTTGATGTCTGCCCATGAGATTGAGTCTGGGTAGCGCACTGCAAAGCTGACGCAGCTGAGCAGAACTGGGGATTGACAGTAAAAGATGGGGAGCTCTGAAGTGTGTGAGGGCACGGTCGTGGTTATTAACCCTTGTCACCAGCACTTTCTGGCCATTATTTACTCCTGTTTCATTCACACTAATCCTGGTATTTCTTACAAAAAATGCCTAAAAGACTGTCGGTGTATGTGCACACCCTGTTCTGACGCTCGCAAGTCCTGACCTTTTGCTCTTTGGCCTCTTCTACTTCAGATGGTCCATTCCAACAGTCAAGATAACACATAAACACACACGTATGATTGGTTGCATGCAAGCAGATGGATTCCTGCCTGTGACATAGTGCAGTAAAGGGACTGTTTAACTGGCAATTCCCCATGCTGGCTGTTTTCAGAGCCATGATTCAGCAAGTTGAGGTTGTCACCTGTTGGGAATATACAGCTGACACCTGTCTGAATTTCCTTTATGGTCTCTCAACAACAAGCTAGTTAGGAATGAAAGTTACAAAATAAAAAGAAGATTGGAACTGCATGATGCTTTTCATGTATAATCAGATGCATGAAAGTGGTTAAGTTGGAAGGTGCCAAAAAAAACCCCCAAAACTTAAATAAACACTCATTTTAGTACAAATAATTGAATAACTTTAATCATGTAGATTATCGTAAGGTTATATGGAGGAAATAGTGAGCAAATGAGAAGAAGCTACTTGCTTTCTTTTAAAGTAGATATTAAATTTGCTGCTATCTTTGGAAAATTTAATTAAAATGTTTATAAAAGCTTAGGTGATTAAAATCTGGCCGTGTGGGTAATGGACCTGGGTATTAGATGGAACTTTTGAATTCTTGATCAAACACTTACAGATATGAGACATACTTTGGTGTTGTTTGACTGCTTCCACTGATCCTGTTTGTAAGATGCAGTGTCTGATATATAAAACCCTCCTGGTGTTTTGCATCTTTTTTCTTTAATGGCATTGCCAAGACACCAACAACAAAAAAACTCAACAAAAAAAACCACACAAATGTTAAAAGGAACTTACTGGCTACTTCCAGAGAAGCATTGTGACTGATCGCCTGGCCCAGATAGTTTCGGGCCACACACACGTAGATGCCATCGTCTGGCTTGCTCCGTCGTCCATGGACAATACGCAGGAAGAAGAGGGACCCACTGGGAAGCAGCATACGGTGGGAACGGGGATTTTCCCGATCCGTCTCAACACGCTCCCCATCTTTGTACCATTCCACCGTAGGCGGCGGACGGCCCTCTGCCTTACAGTTGAGAGTGGCTGGCTCCCCTTTGGATACAATGAGGTCAGAAGGGTGTTCCACAATGCGGGGAGGGAAGTCTTCCTGGCGAAGACGAGACCCTAGAGATGAAGAATGGCACAAGATTTCAGGCATAGCATTTATTAGAAATTAAGCTACATATAGATACATGTTAGCCGAACACAAAAACACCCCAACAACGAGCCACAGTGAAATATAACAGATAATCCTTCCACTCAATAAAGAGTGGTGGTAATCAAAACAGCAGCAGTTCTAAAGGAATTAGACATGGCACATTATTATTGATGTGTAAGTGCCTTCATTAAGCAATAATCCAGTCTGACAGTGTAATTACCACACGAACACATCCCCTCTCATACTACACATCCCTCCCCATAATATGTTTTGTTCTTGTTTAGTAGTTTGGAACCCCACGAGGCAGTGTAAATTAAAAAGAAAAGAAAAAGATGATGACACGCAAAATCCTCAGGAAGTAATATCTTTGAAAGCATGTCTAGCCTTCAAATGTGTATTTATAAGACGTAAGTATTCACAGCTTTTAAGAAAATCTTTTAAGCTGAACTATAATAGGATTACGGCATTATCTGTGGTTCCACTGAACACTGGGATGTAGATTTTTGCGTTTATTGTGCTAGTTTAAATATTTAGCCTATTTAACTGTAGTAAGACTGCACTTCAGTTAAAACTGAAACGAGTGGCAGAAAGATCTCCAATAAGTATACTTTATAAATGACCCAGGGAATTTATAGTTTCCAAAATATTTTCGTGTTACCTCTATGGAGCTTCTGTGGTATTTTTTGCAGCTGCCTGTTCTGAATGCCTGTCCTCAGGATAAACCATCACTTTCTCCCCAACCTATTCAGTTGCATATATATTTTTACACACATTTATTTATGATACGTGTTTACAGCTGAAGCCAATTTCGCCATCGCCTCAGAAATTGTTGAACAAACCAAGATGAAATGAGAAATCTGCAGCCACACCTACACAAAACGCCCACAAAACCACCTCTAATCCATGAAATACTGTGGAGATGTCAGTCATACTGGTCTTTAAAAGAAACCATGCAAGAATGAATCCCAGTGAAGCAGAGGACAAAGAAAAACCTCCCTAATGAGAGAGCCAGGTACACAACTCCAATGCCTCTGTACATCTTACATTCTATTCATCTCTTTCCAACCCCCATCACACTGAAGCACACACACTAGCACACTACCAACAGCTCTGCAAACAGACCATTACTCATTTTCTGTCCTCCGTCGCTCCTGTATTTTCTGAATCTTGGGTGGATTCTGCAAGACTGCCACAGGTGTTATTGTTTTCCAGAATTCGTTTAGATTACCTGTAACCCTAACACAAAATGCACAACTAGGTGTGTGCAAAGGCCGTAGCATCGCGCAATAGAAGAGGGAGGACATAAATGGCCATTTTGCAACTGCTGTTTACCCGTTCTATGACTGTGGAAACACTTCTGTTCTTTCCTGCTGTTTCTAACAGTACTTTATACAGCCTTCAGTCGGTCTTGCATTAATGTACCAATGGCCCTGTAAAGCTGATAATCACACTGTGCCAGAGAGTGATGAGCTCCTACACTCCCGCTGCAAGCAATAAATCCCACACAGACAAGTGTTTACTCAGATAGATAACACCTTGTGAAATGGGTGAGAATGTGATCTACTGGGTTGTGTGGTGCAGTTCTGGTGTTTGTATAAAACTGAATTTTCTCAGGAAGAAAAGAAAATAGTACATAGAATAAACCCCCTACTACACAGTACACAAACTGATAAGAACAAAAAAGTGAGGATTGTGCAGGCTTATCATTAAAACTGAAAGATATGCTGGAATTTGTATGTTTTGCATCCACAATACTCCATAATTCATTGACAGTAGCCGATTGACTAAATGGATGAAGACAGCTGAGATAAGTCCTCCCACTCCATGAATTTTACATTTTTTTATTACCTTTCACCAAATTATTTCCTCTGTCTACTGGTCATTTTTTTCTGTCAAATGATTGATCTAACTAATACGTGTTAATGAATGCAAAATTTCGCAAAAGTTTATTTCTACATAAAACAGATAATTACACATGTAAAGGAAAAAATTATCCTCAGAATCAAGCAGGAGCTCCACAGCAGTTTCTTATTTAACAAGAACACCTTGGCATGGCGGAAAAGTAGCCTGAAGGCATGTAGCAATGATACAAATCTGTTTAAACAGATGCCTGAAAATGAATGCGCTGAATTTTTAAGCATGGAGCACGATTTTGGCCATCTGAGTGGGCTTTTGCTGCAAGCTGGCAATCACATGGAGAGATACAGAGGGAGACATTGCTCAAAATGCAGTCTTAAAACTATTGCTTCCGTGTCTAAAAATGATGTATCGCTTTCAGTATCTTTTAAAAAAGCTCCTGTTGTCCTAAACAGATCAGTGCACGCAACACAGAGCTAAAGTCCAGTTATCTCTTGGAAAAGGTATAACAGACAGCCAATAGCTAAGTCACGCTAGAATGACAATAGTACAGCAACACTCTTTGCAACTAGGAAATATTGGTGGTTTTTCAGTGATTGCACTCAGTGACAAATTATAAGTAGCTGCAGTGGTCAAGCCTCCAGGCAATCACTTTCAATTGCAAGGTGACTGCACAGGTCGTCTGGTGGGAGGCAACTCATCTCCAGAAAGTTGTTTTTGGACTCAGGCTAACTGCGATCAGATTGTCAAAGGTTTACAAATAACAGCCGTCTAATTTTTAAATGCACACAGATTCAGACAAGATGTTGCAATCAACTTGAGTCAGTCTGAATTTATGAGTAAAACTTGTCTGTGACATGTCTCTTTGCAGTATGGGGCTCAACCTGTTGTCAACTGGTTGTATTCTGGTTACCTACTGTCATTTTGCAGTTAAATCGCCATCCTGCAGCACCAAAGTCACTTTGAAGATGGCACTAATTGCAAGTGGCCTAGTCTAACAACTATTTCAGAGACAAGGAGATTGCAGGTTCACTGCATACAATTGCAGTAACTCACTAATGTGCTGTGATCTTCGACTACTGTTTTCCCTAGTACGACTGTAGCACAAACTGGAAGCCTTGAAACACTGACTGTAGACTGACTGAGTCTAAATGATCAGAGGGCTTTCACAAGGTTCACAGTACAGTCACATGCAATCAATAGTGATCAAATTAGAATCAACTGGAAAATTTTCCCCACCAAGGGACCATTTGGAATCACTGTACAAGTTAAAAAACCCATTGAACTATCCTTTTTTTTCTTTTGCAGCTGGGATTTCTGCCTACAAAATGATGGTTACAATGTTGAAGCAATGCTAGTTAGTCTCCAACACTTGTGGTGTTTTGAGCAGTTGCTTGGTAATGATATATATGATACTACGTTTATATGTTGGCCATGACAATGTTAATATTGCATTGTTTATCGGTGGTAAAACATTTGTTGTTAATGTGAATTTCTGTTTCATGTAACCTTTGTGTGTGTGTGAAGATGGCCATTTTCACTTGTACTATCCCAAATAAACTGCATTTAATTGCCAGCTTGACCCCATTCAATCACAAACCCTCCCTCGTATACAGTGGGGCAAAAAAGTATTTAGCCAGCCACCGATTGTGCAAGTTCCCCCACTTAAAATGATGACAGAGGTCAGTAATTTGCACCAGAGGTACACTTCAACTGTGAGAGACAGAATGTGAAAAAAAAATCCATGAATTCACATGGTAGGATTTGTAAAGAATTTATTCGTAAATCAGGGTGGAAAATAAGTATTTGGTCACCTCAAACAAGGAAAATCTCTGGCTCTCACAGACCTGTAACGTCTTCTGTAAGAAGCTTTTCTGTCCCCCACTCGTTACCTGTATGAATGGCACCTGTTTGAACTCATCATCTGTATAAAAGACACCTGTCCACAGCCTCAAACAGTCAGACTCCAAACTCCGCCATGGCCAAGACCAAAGAGCTTTCGAAGGACACCAGGAAAAGTATTGTAGACCTGCACCAGACTGGGAAGAGTGAATCTACAATAGGCAAGCAGCTTGGTGTGAAAAAATCAACTGTGGGAGCAATCATCAGAAAATGGAAGACATACAAGACCACTGATAATCTCCCTCGATCTGGGGCTCCACGCAAGATCTCATCCCGTGGGGTCAAAATGATCATGAGAACGGTGAGCAAAGATCCCAGAACCACACGGGGGGACCTGGTGAATGACCTGCAGAGAGCTGGGACCAAAGTAACAAAGGTCACCATCAGTAACACACTACAACGGCAGGGAATCAAATCCCGCAGTGCCAGACGTGTTCCGCTGCTGAAGCCAGTGCATGTCCAGGCCCGTCTGAAGTTTGCCAGAGAGCACATGGATGATACAGCAGAGGATTGGGAGAATGTCATGTGGTCAGATGAAACCAAAGTAGAACTTTTTGGTATAAACTCAACTCGTCGTGTTTGGAGGAAGAAGAATACTGAGTTGCATCCCAAGAACACCATACCTACTGTGAAGCATGGGGGTGGAAACATCATGCTATGGGGCTGTTTTTCTGCCAAGGGGACAGGACGACTGATCCGTGTTAAGGACAGAATGAATGGGGCCATGTATCGTGAGATTTTGAGCCAAAACCTCCTTCCATCAGTGAGAACTTTGAAGATGAAACGAGGCTGGGTCTTCCAACATGACAATGATCAAACAAGGGGGCGATCGTGGCTCAAGAGTTAGGAGTTCGCCTTGTAATCGGAAGGTTGCCGGTTCGAGCCCCGAGCTTGGCAGTCTCGGTCGTTGTGTCCTTGGGCAAGACACTTCACCCGTTGCCTACTGGTGGTGGTCAGAGGGCCCGGTGGCGCCAGTGTCCGGCAGCCTCGCCTCTGTCAGTGCGCCCCAGGGTGGCTGTGGCTACAACTGTAGCTTGCCATCACCAGTGTGTGAAGTGTGTGTGAATGGGTGGATGACTGGATATGTAAAGCGCTTTGGGGTCCTTAGGGACTAGTAAAAGCGCTATATAAATACAGGCCATTTACAATTTGATTCAAAACACACCGACTAAGAGCATTTGAAAGTCCTGGAGTGGCCTAGCCAGTC